CAGGAATTTTCTAGGTGTCCCCCCTCTATGGCAGTCACTGTGCGAGGCCAGCCCCACAAAGGCGGCTATTTGCCTTCTCCACTTCCTCACCTGAAAGCTGGTAGGGAAAAAGCAATTGAGTTGACCCGTTTCACTTTAATCTCATCATCACAAAAAATCAAATAGATGCTCAAACTTTCTTTAATAAGCTGACTTTTCAAAGACAATTGTTTAGTACCTCCTCTTCTGTCCCCACACCTCCCAAGCCTGTCTCTCACTCTTAGCTGTCAAGTTTGAAGAATTTGAGGTTTGCATCTTATTTGCTACTTAATAAGTTAGTCTCCATTTCATGGATGCATGGTAGCAAAAGCATGAGACATTTGAGTCAGAAACAAAGGAGTTTCTTACAGCAAGAGTGATGGCCTGAGTTTCAGCATTTACGCAGTGTTCCTGAGCCGTGAGGCAATGCAGGGAGGGCCACAGAACCACCACACATGTAGTGGTCTTCATTACACAAGAGAAGCTGGAAGTGAGGGAGTCTGGGTCTCACACTCTGCCGTAAGCCTGCCTGAACTTCATCCCTGGAAGACATTATGTTTACTATACAGGATAGTAAGTACATGTATGTCTGCCTTTGACTCCAAAGAGAGACACCATTTCTCTCTCACGAGTATTTGCTATACTCTATCCTTGGAAAGTTAGTCCAGAATGAAGTCAGTAAGTTCTCAGTTTACAAGATTTGCAGAAATCTACGAGACACGGGGAAAACTATTCAGCAACAATGACCTCTCTTAATGTTCCACTGATAAAACTGAAACTTTCCAGTGGGAAGACCCTCATCTTCCTGTCATTGAAGCTACAAAATTACTTGCAGTCTTTTCATTCCCCGTTACAGCAAAATAAGTGTTCCTTCTTATCAAAGTCCAGCTTGCCCACCTGTAATCTGGTGACTCTCTTGCCGTCTCCAGACTTTGATTCCTGCAAACATTTCCTCTGTTCTGAATCATTTTCTCCCTCTCTTCCTCTGTATCATTCTAATTAGCATGCAGACATGCCCTAAAATCTCCCATCTGTACAAAACCCTCCCTTGACTCAACATTCTGCTCCAGGTATTACCCATTTTAAAAATTCATCCTCCTGGAACTAGCTGATGGTGTAATGGTTACATTGCTGGACTCCCACATAATCTATCATGGCACAAGTTCCGGACCTGGTGGCTTAAAAACCCATGCTGGGGCCTGTGTATGCATGCCCAAGATCCCAAGAGAATAGAGGAGATTGTGGCATGGTCATCCCCCCAGGCAGTGAGTTCTTGCTTTCTGTCTCTGTCACTATAGTAAGCACATGAGCACTACATTAAAAAAACAAAACAAAACAAAACAAAAAAACATCCTGCCAATACTTCTCAAAAAACTGTCTGTACTTCCTGTCACCCTTTCATAAACGACCTCCATGTTGCTTAAACCACTAGATAAATCTCTGTTGTCATGGTTATCTTTCAGCATCATGCCACGATTGTCCACTCCTTCCTTCATGAAATTCTCCCTCATCTCTGCAATGACTACACACTCTACCAGTTAACATACTCTACTCGTTTTCTTTCTATCTTTTTGGTTACTCTTCCCAGGTCTTTTTTGCTTATGTCTCATTTTCTCATGAGTCTGTAAATGATGGTGTAACTGAGACTCAGTCCAAGGCACTGTAAAAGCAATATTTTGCACCAGGCACTTGTTAAAAATGGCAAGACAGGTATTTTTCAGCACAACTGCAGTAAGCAACTTTAATGAGTTTACTCTGATAAAATTTAAGCAGCAGGACTTTTTTTTTCCCTTCAGGTATAAAACACAGTATTTTAAAAATTGTTCATGGGCATGTGCTCTCACCAGAGGGAAATGGCAAGAAAAAGCCCCTCCTCACATGCTGCAATCCCTTCTTCTCCACCTCTCCATTTTGTTAGGATTTGAGATATGCACGAACACACACCAGTGTTTTTTTTCAATCCTTTGGGACTGAAAACTTTAAACACAGTTGGCCATGTGGGATCTAGCTTCCTTCATCAGTAGGCCATGAGATTGGCCCTTATTTTGTATTCTGTTAAAAGCTCCTCAAGAATCTCACTTTTATTGGGTGACTAGGCAAAGACAGAATTCAGGCATTTAAGATTGCTAGAAATACTACTATATTATAAAAAAAATTCTGAGTTTATGATCAACAAGCTGTAACATAGGTTCAGCTTCTGAAGGGCATAGAGCATCCTGGCAAGGGGTAGGCAGGTTGGGTTTTTGCCTCCAGACAGTGAAAAATCATGAAAGATTTTAAAGCAGAAATAGCAAACGCACATGTTTAAAAAACACTCTGGGGCCAGCTGGTGATGTGGTGAAGGCAGCTAACCCTCACATGGCCAACTGTATGGTTCAAGTCCCGGACCCAGCAGCTTGAAAAACACACCGGGCATGAGTGTGTGTGCCCAAGGTCCCTAGAGGAAAATTGAGAAAATGTGGTCAGTTCCCCTCTTTCTCTTTCTGTCTCCCTCTGGTGAGCACACACGCCCTACAGCAAAACTAAAGTTAAATGTGCATATTATTTTCTTCCTTAATCTATAATGTGGTACATCATTTTTTTAAATGTTAAATCAGTTTTGAAGTTCTGGGATTAATCCAATTCAGTCATAATGTAGCACCCATTTTCTAAGTTGTTGGATTCAGCCTGCTGGTATTTTACTTAGGATTTTGGTATTTATGTGTAAAATAGCCTTGCAAGGAAAACAGGTGGTGTAGTTGTTAGGGTGCTCGACTCTCTCATGGTCAACTGCAGTTCAAGTCCCAGACCCCACAGCTTAAAATCACACTGGGCATGTGTGCGTACCTGCCCAAAATCCTAGGAGGAGAATGGAAGAAAAGGGATTGTGGTGTGGCCATGTGCTCTGGGGCTGATTTCTCACTTTCTGTTTCTCTCCAGTGAGTGCCCACGCCCTATGGCAAAAACCTAAAAAAAACCCCAAAAAACAAAAAAACAAAACAAACAAAAACTTGTAATGTTAAAAAATAAAAAATAAAAGCAGACTCTGAGGGTGCTTAACTGAATATGAACTTGGAAGTCCCACTGCTTCCGAGTCTCATCTGTGCGTCTTGAGTAGGCGAATTTCTCCAATTTTTCTTTTGTGAATCACCACTTTGCATATCATTTATCTTCTCTAGGGCCCATCATAATGGCTGCAGAACCCAGGGAGGGGACAATCCCATTCTGCTCCAGCAGGCCAGAGTAGAGTGAGACCTGCTGGACTCTTCTAGTTACAGAAATGTTGACTCCACGAAAACAATCTCACAGCACTGCTGCACTGTAGGCTAAATCTTAAAAGGCTGGGGCTGGAAGAGAACTTAGAGAGGATACTTTCCAGGGATCACAGGACTCCGACAACTCCTGCCCCCAGAATATAAAGCCACAGTGCGTCAACAGATTTCCTCTTTTATGCATTTTAGTACATTTTCAAATTTCAAGTCTTTTCCTAGGAAAATATTTTCAGTAAGGGTGTGGAGAAACACATTAACAAGAAGCTCTTGCAACTCCAGTTATTTCTTTTAGATTTTTGCCTTAGGGCACATGCACTTGCCAGACAGACAGAGAGGAAAAGGTCACACCACAATCTCTTCTACATTCTCCTCCTGGAGTCTTGGGCAGGCACAAGTGCCCAGCATCTCACCAGCCACGGGGTGTGGGATCGGAACTGAGCAGCCAGCCACGTGGGATCCAGTGCTTCCATGGCTGCACCACCTGCTGGCCTCCACTACCTTTTCTTGGTCTCAGAATTCTAAGAAGTTAGAGGTCCCAGGATGTCTGCTTGGGACTAGCAACTCTATGCGTCACATAACTGCTCTTCCTTGGGACACATTTTCAGTTTCGTCAATATTCCTTACTTCCAAACTGTCACCAAGTCTCTGAAATCCAGGCCTGAATATTCAACTTTCCAGTTACTTGGATACCCCAAAAGAACCTTAAATTCACAATGTCCAAAATGGGACTCACCTGGGGGGTCACTTCCTCAGGAAGCAGAAAGGGCGACATTGGAAGATAGAGGCCCCATTATATTGGAGCAAGAAGTTTGAGTTTCATTTTCTATGCACCTGTCTGAGAAGCATTTTAGGCCATGCCTCCTATACATCAGAAAAGTCATCAGCAGTAAAGTTAAAAATTATTTGGAAAGGGCAGAGCCTAAGGGCAGTAAGAAGCTACCACGCCACCTGCTGGCCCCCACAGTAAACTTTAAGACATAGAAGTACACTCTAAATGAGCAGAGTATGGAAAACACATAACCAGTAACATGGTTGCTTATTCCCATGTTCAAGTGTTACATACTGTACACAACTGTACATGCCATGCTATACATTACACTGCTGCAGCACAGGGTGGGTTACATCAGCATCACCCCGTACACGTGAGCAACATGTGAGCAACGTGCCGCACTCTGACGTTAAGATGGCCATGGCATGGCTCAGTTCAGTGATTTTCGGCTCCATGATAATCTTATGGGACCACTGTCATACATGTGGCTCATCACTGAAGAAAAGCATTATGGGGAGCATGACTGGAATATTTAAAAATGGGTGAAAAGACCTGAATAGGTATTTCTCCAAAGATAAATGAAAGGCCAATAAGCTCATGAGAAGATGTTCAATGTCTTTAGTCACTAGGAAAATACAAATCAAAACAAGATGCCACTTCCCACCCACTAGGGTGGTTATAATGAAAAACACAAAAACAGATGTTGGCAAAGATGTAGAGAAATTGTATGCTCCATTTGGGCTCTGCTTTTTCATTTATCTGAACTTGGTACTTGGGATAAATATTCGATGGTAGAACAGGAAACAGGATCACAGCAAGTGAAAGATGGAAAGAAAGTAGATGCTATGAAAACATACCAACGCTCACCTTGCATGGGGGGAAACAGGTTCAGAAAGTAGAACAACTGGTCTAAGACCAGAAAGCTGCCCAGCTTACTCCTGACCCCTGTGGTAAACCCAAGGAGACTGTGAGGCTCATAATCAGAAACACACATTTACTGAATGCATACTGTCACGTGGGTGTAGCACGATGTACCTTTTTAAGTGGATCACTTACCACAGCTCAAAGTTCAGCCACTTGCCTGAGGCCACTGAGCCTTAGGTGAGGTTGGATTTGAACCAGAACCCAAGCTCCTCCCAGATACACTACACTGCCCAATACAGGAGGTCCTGGAAACCCAACACGCCACAATACACAGCTGCAGGAGAGATGGGATGAGCAAACCAGGTGGCATAGGGCACTACAGAGTAGCTATTATATTTTTTAAAGTGAAGCTTCATGTACAATAATTAATAGAGCAAGGAGGTACAGTTGAAAATACACTGATTAAGACTGATGGTGGGACCAGCAGGTTGCGTAATGGCTATGTTGTTGGACTCCCATGTAATCGATCACAGTTCAAGTCCTGGACCCAGCAGCTTAAACTCACGCTGGGTGTGTGTGTGTGTGCGTGCCCAAGATCCCGAGAGAAGGGACTGCGGTGTGGCCATCCCACTTGGGGGGTGATCTCTCGCTTTCTGTCTCTCTGTCTCTGTCTTTCTGGTGAGCGCACGTGCCCTATAGCAAAAACCTCTCAAAAAAAAAAAGACTGTTCACTGACAAGCACACACTAAGAAGACTTATCTTAGCTATAACTGGGCATAATTAGTGGTTATCATTCTGATACTTCTTGTGCACATGGAAATAAATCTGCTTGGCAACTTGACCTTTTTTGTTGAGAGAGAGATTTTTGCTATATGGTGCGTGTGCTCACCAAAAAGACAGAGAGAGAGTGACAGAGACAGAAAGCGAGAAATCATGCTTGCCAGAAAGACAGAGACAGAGAGACAGAAAATGAGAAATCACCCCCCCCCCCCGGGGGGGGGGGGAGGCCGCAATCCCCTTCTCCTTCATTCCCTTCTCCGGATGTTGGGCACAAATGAACACGCACCCAGCATGAGTTTAAGCCACCAGGTCCATGACTCGAACCGCAGTCGACTACATGGAAGTCCAGCGACATAGCCGTTACGCCATCTGCTGGTCCTGGCAACTTGATTTTTATCAAAGGTCTTCATTTTTACCTAAAGAAAATGTTGAATGAATTTAATTCAGCAAATATAATAATAGCTATTAAAATAAATACTATGCACAAGCAATTTGATTTTTGTTTTATTGCTTACATATGAATTGCACAGTACATTTTTACATTTAAAAAAACTTATTTCATTACATTTAATACATATATTGGCATGAATAAGACAGACTAATTCCATTTTCAGACAGAAAGAACAAAAACATTTTGGGCATGGGAAGCTAATTGCTGGTAATGTGTAGTTTTATTCTAAAAAAAAAAAAAAATGAAGTTCAGAAGTCTTCAGGAAGTATGTGTATATATTCAGGTAAACTCCAACCGCAAACACTTATATAAGCAGTCATAGACAATGTAAGTATAGGAGGAACATTGAAATGTTAACTGCTCAATGTCAAGAACAAAGAATGATATAAGCAACTGTATAAAACAAAAAAAGAATGATTAACAATTTATTAAGGGTTTTATCTATCTACAGAAATAAAGCAATACAGAGAACACTTCAATAATCCTAAACTTTAAGTATCCAAACTGGCTAAACGTGGGATGCAAACCTAGTCCCTGCAGAATTCCCTGCAGACATGGAAGGGGCAGGCAGGGAAGAGATTCATTCCTTGGGAGTCTTCGTCAACAAGACCAGTTCAGAACACTAGGATCCAGAAGTCTACTGCGATTTAAAAAGAACAATAAAATCGCCACAAAACTCAAATCAACAGTTTACAAAGACCAAGAGAAAAGGAAGGACATTAACTGCAATGGTTTCCTTTACATGCAATACATGCATTTTAAAATCACTGAGAAACAAAACTTTGTAGAGCAAAGTCTGCATTTTGAATGAGTGCAAATGAATATATATCTTTTCTTATGCTATTAAATTATATATATTTTCTCCATACAAAAGCACACAGTGTTAATTTGTAAAAGGACATCCAAATGGATGATGATTGTTTTTGCATGTCCCCCTGCTTAGACTTTTTTTTAATGAATAGTCAAAAACTAATAAAAACTAATATTCTTAAAAATAGAGAAGGAAAAAATGAAATGATGATGATAATAAAAAGAAAAATTAAAACTAGTTTAACTCATGAAACATTTCACCTGGTCAAGGGGCAACGGCACAGTGAGGGCTGCAGCAGGGCCAGTCGGTTGTCCAGTGGTGACCATGCTGCCACTCTAAAAACCCGTTCCTGTGGATCCACATTTAATAAACAGCCCAGGATGTTGTGTGTCACTGCTCAGGTCTAAGTGACAAAGCTGCTTCTCGAGATGTTGCACTTTGGTTTAAGTAGTCAAAGACTTTTGAGTATGTTTATTCTGTTGTTCTTTTTTTCTGTTTCTACTAAAGGTACCTAAATAACTATAAACACAAAGTTAAAATACCCTATTCTTATTGCAATTTTCAAACAAGAACAAAGTCCAAAAACGGAATTATTTTTGGAGCTATGGTTTTTGATATGTGTATTGTTTCATGTAAAAGAAAATGAATATGAAAGGGTAGTAAAACTATAAATAGGTGATCTTATAAAAAGAGTTGCAAAGAAAGCTATTCATTTTACCATGGGGTGGAGCTTACAAAATGCACACAGGTGTACATCTGTCAGTGTGAAGCGTAAATTAGCGAACCTTAGAACTCTAAGTCACTAAAACATAGACACTCTTTTCAAATGTTATATAATTAATCCTAATAGAGATGCACACAAGTTATGGTTCAAATCTTACACTTAAAAGTCCATTTGGGGAATTTTTTGACTATAAGAATTTAAAATAATGTGTAATGTAAAAACATAAACTCATGTGCTCTTAGAAATCAAAACATACAGACTCTTCACAGGTGAACTAGTAGCTGTTTTAAATGTCTTCTTTTCCTATATTAAATATATATCTCATTTAATTAATGGAGCCACAGCAAAATACTACTATAATTTCAAAGCATAGCCTGTAAACTAACACATCTTATGATGTAAAAAATATTGCACAGTTCGGTACTTCAAGAGTAAGTTCTAAGTCTCTCAAGTAGAGCAGTCAAACTCTTGGCAGAAAACACAGTATTACAAGAACTAGACGCTTTAAAGTATGGCAATTTGGGGAGTCAGATTCTAGAAACATTATTCAATAGATGTGTTCTTAGTGTAAACAAGTTGAAGAATGCGTAGTACATTTTATTACAGTAAACAAACAGAAGGATGCCTACCACAACTTGTCTGAAGCACAGAGACAAAAAGCCACAGCACGGTTCTGCAGCCCCAGGATTAGGGATACATCTGTGGGTATTTGCTTCTGCAGGTAACAATAACAGCAGCAATTCTATTTCTAAGGAGTTGTGCAGACATTTCAGAAACACAGTAGATACTTCACACATCTTCAATCCTCTCAATGCTTACTTTTAAAAAAAATTACATTTGTGGAAAAATTAAAATATACTGTTTAACAATGAAATAATAACAGACCGATACATGTTCAATTTTAAAAGCAATAGGAAAGTCAAAGCAAATTAACATGGCATGACTCCATCTTCCACAGTACCGTAAATCACATACAGCGCTCAGACTTCTAATACGGTTTGCCAAGCATTTGGTGAAAGATAAGTTCTCTCACTATTTTCAAGAAATATGTTAATATGCATCAAGGAAACCCTGAAACTCAGCGTTGCCTTAATTTTTAGGCTTTAAAATCGTATGCAGAGGTCTTCACGAGCCAATTAGTACACACACAGGTCTGGAAACTTCATCTCATAGACGGGGACAGACTGGTACTGGGCATGCCCAGAAGTAATGGTCAGCGTTCCTGATGGACTGGGAGGAGGACTGTAAAAGAAGGAGGCACTGTCAACACGTGTGGTACTTAACGCTTTTCCTCTCACCAACTGTCCGCCCTACTACCTGCCAACATCGAAGTAAAGTAGTTGCCGGCCAGCTATGAGGTTAGGTGGTGTCAAGCTGTTTTTAAGCCAAAAACAGTTATTTTCATTTGAATATATATATGTGTGTGTGTGTGCATACACACACACACACACATACACACACATACATATACATATAAATATTTAGGTTTTTGCCATAAGGCACATGCAAGAGACAGAAAAATAAAAGAGAGGATAAAAGGGAAATCATCCCCTGTGGGGCCCGACCATGCCATAATCCCTTTTCCTCCAGTCTCCTCTCAGGACTTCAGGCATGTGCACACACGTGCCGGCATAGTTTTTCAAGCTATCGAGTCCAGGACCTGAACCATGGAGTTGGCCACCATGCCACGCTCTGACCCCTGTATAATTTTTTACAACAGGATTACACTCTCCATTCTTGTGAGTTGCTTTGTTTCATTAGTTAAAAAAAAAAAAACTTTCATATATACTTTTTTTAATAATAACCTAATACTTCTTTGGCTGGATATATAAGTGATTTAATCCAGTGGATAAATGCAGTTTCATTTCCATTTTTCATTATAATAATTAATGCTCATAACTCTATTCTTATACACATGTAATTTTATCTTGATCACTGGTTTTCAAGGTTATATAATCTTGCTGGTGGAATTTCTAGATCAAAGTGTATCCACAGTTTTCATCATGGTACATATTACCAGAATATGTTCTTTTAGACTGTTGGGAATGACGCAATAAATATTGGATTTTGCTTATCTTTTATATTTTAAGTCTTTGTCAATCTGACAAGCAAAAGGAACATTTTCTTATTTCTATTATCAACTTTTGAGTTACTACTTGTAATAAGTATCTTTGTGGTATCCATTTTGTTTTGAAAATGTAAATTGCCTATCTGAGTCCAGTACCTATATTCCTAATCAGGTATTTCTCTCCTATCAATTTTTAAACTAATATTTTGTCATAGAATACTAAGGCTTTTCTCTAACTTAAAATTTCAACTTTCTTTGTGCCAAATGCCTAAAATCTTACCAAAAAAACTATTTCCTTACAATTTCTAGTTTTTGAGTTATGCTACAAAAAGCTTTTTTCAAAATCCAAGATTACAAAAAATATTTCTGTATAAATTCTAGTATGTCTGTGTTTTTCTAAATAGGTCATTGTTCTATCTTGACAAAGAAGGGAAGCAGGACTTTCCTCTCCTCTCTCTCTTATTGGAATAGTCTTCAGTACTTCTTCAAAAAGATTAACTAAAAATTTTCTGTTTTCCTGAAATCTTAAATTTACCACAGACCCTGTGTTTCTAAATTTTCTTCTATGCCCCCCCTTTTTTTCCCTTCTCATAGCATTTTCCTCAGTTTGTTTTTACATATGGATTCTTCCACATCATCTTTAGCATCATTTGTTTAAATATACACACACATACAAAAAAAAAAAACTGTAAAGATTTTGCTTAAACTTAAAGATTAATATGCAGAAAACTGATGTCTTTACATTAACTTCCCATTAAACAAATTTTGAGTTTTCACTTATGTAAATATTTCTAAGTATATTTCAGATAGTTATTACATTAGCAATTACAGGGTTATTTTGGTATTTTATTTCTTCCATGGTCAGTTTTATTAGTTATATCTTTCAATAATTTTGCAAATTTCATCTAAATGCTACATGGTTCCTTGAGTTGATAGTTATTTCATGGTTATGAATGTTTTCATTTTCATTAATATGTGCACAAATGCTACCTTCATATAGTTTTCATGTATTTTCCTGATACATTAATCTATTTTTGGTAATCAATATATATTTTTACAAATATAAGTTTTCACTTCTTTGGATAAATACTGAGAAATGGGACTAGTATTTGATCAAGACTAAGTATATGTTTAACTATATAAGAAATTGCTAGTTTTACGAAGTGGTCTATAGCATTTGATAGTCCCACGAGAGTTCTAGTCAGTACATACTCTTACCAGCATTTTGCATTTCCTCTACTTTTTTTCATTTAGCAATTCTAATGGGTACCAAATGGTATCATCTATCATTAAGTTCTTAAATTTGCATTTTTCTTGCTAATTAATAATACTGAACACCTTTGAAGTCAACAGGTGGCATGGTGGTTAAATCTCCTGACGTTTACCTACAGTTGAAATACAGTCCAACAATGGTCTATTTTTGTGAAGGTTATATGTGTACTCTGAAAAAAACCTATATTCTGTGGTTGTTCAGTTGTTCTCTAAGGCCACTTAAATTGTTTTTCAAAGTTCAACTCTTCTTTTTCCTTGTAAAATTTTTAATTTTCTTTTTGATTATATGTTTTAATACTCTTATGAAATGAATGGTAAAATTTTCAATTTTCAATTACAAAAAGGCAGGAAACTACAGTAAGAATAAGTAGCACCCAAAAAACATTTCTTCCCTAAAATATATTTATCTTTTCCTTTAAATTTTCTGATGATGATGATGATGTGTGTGTGTGTGTCTGTGTGTATTGTTTTGAGTCCACTAAATCCAATAACTGGGTCTTTGTGAAACTGTTTATTCTTACTGTATTTCATTGCTTCTCTGGATTTTTTTTTCTTCTTCCTTTTTTTTTTTTTTTTTTTTACCATACTTGGGATACAGTGAATAAAATCACAGTGGAAACTGAAATACAGTTATTTTGCTTCTTTACTGGAGAACACAAACTCTTTCCTGTTTGCTGTCTGACATCTAGGATGAGGCAAATTAAAAGAACAGATTAGATAGAAACAGAAAATTCTAAGGAAACACTATGAAGTTTATTTTGTTACTCTGTATCATTTTGTTACTCTGTAAGCTACTCCAAAGGGCATGTACTCAACAGAGACAGACAGAATGCAAGAAATCATTATCCTGGGGAGATGGCCACGGTGCAATCCCTTCTCCTCCATTCTCTTCTCGGGATCTTGGGCATGTGACAACACCACTGGACAAGAGTTTAAGCCACTGGGCTGGGACTCAGCGTGGCTGACTACATATGAGTCTAAAGACATAACCGTTATGCCATCAGCTGGTCCCCCGAAGTTACCTAACTTCCATGTGCCTATCTTTGTACTCTTAATAAAATGAGAAAAATTACTACTTATTTTTTAGGTCTGTTGTAGATATTAAAAAGATAATGCACTTAGCACAGTGCCTGGACCATCATAAACCTTCAATAAATGTTATTACTAGTAAGTGTTCAATAAGTGCTAAGTATTTAAAGCAGTTGTAGAACCATAAATCAAACAGTTGGTCACAATATTTATTCTGAAACAATAAACCTATATAATTACATGACTGTGACTAATAGTATCGTTTGATTTTGACTCCCCCACTCACTGGCTGATTAGCTGCAGGACCTTCAGCAAGTTACTTTACTTCTCTCTGTTTTTTTTTGTTTGTTTGTTTGTTTGCTTTTTTTTTTTTTTGGAGATAGAGGTTTTTTGTTTTTTTGTGATAGGGCAGATGCGCTTGCCAGGTAGACAGAGACAGAGAGACAGAAAGCAAGAAATCATCCCCTAGGTAAATAGTCACACATCACAATCCCTTCTCCTCCATTCTCCTCTTGGGCATGCATGCACACACACCCAGCGTGAGTTTTAAGCACTGGGTCCTAGATTCGAACCGCAATCAACTATGAGGGAGTCCAGTTACGTAATCATTATGCCATCTGCTGGTCCCTAGTTACTTTCTCTATGTCTTGGTGTGTTTCATCTGGAGAAATGAAAGAAAAAAAAAAAGCATCTACCTGCCTTTCGGAGCTACGGTGAGGATTAGCAGAAATAATAGATAAAAAGCTTACAGCAAAAGATCAAGTACATGGTAGACAATGAGTACTACAGTAATAGACAACGAGGTAACGACCCTACCCAGCAATTGTCCCCCAGTCCTAGCTCTCACACGTCTTGCACATTTAAGTCCAAGTCTTTGTTCTAAAATTCTGTAAATGAGTGTTTATTAACTTAGTGGGGGTAGAAGGAATGATGGAAGTACCTAGAATAAGATGTGATACATACAAAGACGTGTCTGGCATATGAAGGCAGAAAAGAGACTGGAATTACAAAGTTTAAGTGGACTAGAGCATTAACCTAGTCCATTTATAAGACACGGGGGACGAAGCACAATAGGGTTAATCAAATCAAATCAAAATATAAAAGATACAGCTGATGTGTAAAAACCATTCCACAAGTACAGGTCTCTGTGGCCTCTCTTCTGGCCCCTTTACACAAAGGCTGTTTCTATGCTAAAGTCAATATAAGACCATGATAAAGCTCTTTCTATGGATGAAACCTGGAGTCTGCCTCTCTGCCCTTCATGTGCTGTTACTTAGCAACAGTTAGACACAGAACTACAGTGTGCTGGACAGTCTGGGTCTGAAGCATAGTACTTCCTCTCAGGACTCAAATGGATATGATGCAGGCAAGTTCAGTACTACCACCCACCACCTGCACAGGTAGAACTGTTACTGCTCCTGGAAAAAACTATGAGACTGAACCATGTTAACTATAGTGTTTGTGGGTCAAAATGGTTAAATATGAGCAATTTCCTGGCTAAACATAATATTAGAAGATAGGTCTTCCAAATTACCCAAATGTCCTTATAGGTCCATTACAGAGGAAGGAATGATCTAAGCTAGAAAAACCAGAAAGCAACTGGACAAGAAATGGTATCAGACTCTATGTGGTTAACAGATGACCACTGAGACAGAGTCACCTATATGACCCTTGTGTCCTACATGAAAAGCACAATTAGATATAACCAGCTATGAATTTATAGGAATCTTACGGATTTTTTTGCTGCTATTATGTCATTGCTGTTGCAGTGACAAAACTCTTACCGTATTGTCAGTTCCAGTATTTGAGCAAGTCTGTCATGAAGTAAATTGGCCTGCAAGGTAAAAAATATTCAGAAATGATTTATTATTTTCTGAATATCCATATGTAAAAATACAAATGTAACTTAAAAGACAAAGTATAATTATAACTATTAAACTGACAGTACAGAACGCTTCATGTTTTAGTTTCGCCTGTCTCATATTTTGGAGTTTAACATAAGGTTTCTCTTTTTGTTTTTCTTAGTCTCACCTCTAAAAACAAATCAACGCACACAAAAAAACAATATACCCATAGGAAGTCACTGAAAACCAATGCAAAAAAATATGTATGTATCAATACAGCAATAATCATTAATATTTAGTTTGGGATCTGCCATTTCTGTTAGTTTAAGAAACTATTTAGGCTTAATAGCTATTCCAATCAAGTTTTTAGTTCCTGTCTGATATACTTCCTTATGTTCTGTTGATCTGCATAAAGACTGGAACTTACCAACCAATAACAAGACAGACTTCCCATGATGCCATATTCAGCCCCACCCCCTTCACCATTTGCTTCTTACTTTGGATTCACACTGTGCTGCTATTTCTTCAAAAGGTGCTTTCTGGAATTTCTCTATCACAAGGCGCCTCTTTTCCTTTTCCTGTTCTTCCATTCCACTGGTTTCTACATAAACATTTATAAAGATATATTAAAAGCAATGCAGAATTTTATAGAACCCTGCCAATGACCGTGAGCGCTATTACAAATATCAGGAACATACAGGGCTAATGTTAAAAGAAAAAAAGCAAATGGTGAACACTCTCAAAAGGTCTCATTTAAGCTCAGAAAGCACTCTCATGAAAGAATAAAACCTCCAAGGGTTAAAACCATAAAAGACCCTCTTATAGAGGATCTCTGTTTCTCTGAGCAAAAAGGCAGGAGAATGGCAGCTTTCTGCAAGTCAAACGGCTTCAAGGTCCTTCCTAATTCTGTTATCAGAAACTATACTCTTGCACATATGAGGTACTAAATAAAAATATATGCTAAGTTGAACTTGATACTGAGTGGAATAAATAAAGTACAGATGAAGTCATTTGGAACTGTATTGTTTTGGTATTTCCAGTTATTTACTACAATTTGAAAAAGAGTTTTAAATCTTAAAATGATGTATGGTCTGGCTAAAGTTTGGGAGACAGTAAAAACAAGTGTCTTTTTTACACCACTGATATAAATGTGAATGTTCACTTAAGAATACAAACGATTAAAGTAAATGAATGAATAAAATAATTCTTTAAAAAAAGAACATAAACGAAGTTGAAGACAATTTTAAAAGTCTAAAGAATGTAGCTAAATAAATGACAATTGACACAGAAAAAAATAATATATATATATATTTTTTCTTTCTTTTCATCCTTGCTGCCTGTACTTATTCTGGCATCTAAAAAACGTACCAAAATAAAGATGAGTTAAATATTAGGAAAGGTGGGCCCAGCAGTTGGCATAATGGCTACATTGCTGGACTCCCATGCAGTTGACCGCGGTTAGAGGCCCCGACTGGGGGGCTTAAACTCATGCTGGGTGTGTGCGCACCCAAGATCCCGAGAGGAGAATGGAGAAGAAGGGACTGCAGTTTAGCCATCTCCCCTGGGGGGTGAATCCTCACTTTCTGTCTCTCTCTGTCTTTCTGGTGAGCACATGCGCCCTCCTATAGCAAAAACCTCTCAAAAAAAAAAAAAAAAAAAAAAAAAGAGAGAGAGAGAATAAATATTAGAGGTAACAAGTATAAATTATCTCACCAATTGCTTTCTTCAATGATTCAAAGGTGATTTCTTCAGTGTTACTAACCTAGAAAAACGGAATTTTAAGCAAAATGAAGAATTAAGAAAGGTCAGCATAAATAATACCGTCACCTAGTTAGAAGTCATCTAATAACTTTTACAATTGTTCTTTGTGTTGGTTGGTTTTGTGATTACATTTCACAGCACCAAATAATCTCCACGTTTTCACTGGTTATGACAATGGCCTACTATTGTAGCTATGTCCAAGCAAGTCTACGGATTAGCATTAGACTGCCAGAATGAGACTCTCCTACGCAACAGGACTAAGCCCGAATCATAAACTCAGTCACCAGTAATGTGATGTGCAGAAAGGTTTGAACCCCACTGACTAAACTAAACCAAGCTTCATAAGTGAGCAGGGCTCTAAGATAGTTAAAGCTGGGAGAGTATATAAATACACTTTTAGGGATGTGATAAATAATTTTGGTTCTGATTATACTTTACAAAGAAAAATTAAATAATCTAAGATTTTAAATAGTTTAAAACTAAGAATCACTACTTTGGTAAGTGCTCAATGAGTATCGTTAATCGTCATCTTAAAGGAAGCACATTCTGCATCTTCTAAGACCAACTACCACATTTTACTCAGGAAATACCCTTTAACTTGGTGCTCTCGAATTTCTCTCTTGCCTTAAGATAAATAAAATATAAAAGGTATAAAGTCAATTGCTTTATTATAAAAAAAAAATACTTTTTGTGGCACCAGTACATTCTCAGAAGGAATAATCCAGTTACTATACTATCTCTGAATGAAAATGAAGAAATGATACATGAATACTTGCCTGGGAGTCTGGTCATCCCTAATTTTAGCTCATGGGCTTCTTTCGCTAAGTCTAAAGCAGCAAGACTAATGAAAGCAAAAGACTTCACGCTGTGCACCTTAGCTTCTCTGTAATACAAAGGCTTTAGCTGGAAACCAAGCAGCAAGAGTTCCACTACCTCAGTTTTTCTACTGAGGGATCATATTTCTAGTTGAAGTCAGATTAAACTTGGGCATCTTCAGTTGCTTTGTTCTAGATATTTGGAGCAGACATACAAGATTAGGCTCTGACTGGTCAATTATTTGTATCTAGAAGCAATCTACTACTTCAGTGACAAAAACAACCCAGGGCAGTTCTTGGAATTGGCTAAGAGCTTTGGACTTCGGAGAAAAAACTATAGTTAGTCCAGGGTAAGAATAAGGGAGAAGTCAGAAGGCCTGTAGTCCTGTTACACACAATTTTCACTTATGGCCTACATGTGAAAGGGTAACGTACTTTACATACTAACTCCTTGTCCTACGTGTTCGTATTGTCCTTAATTCAGGTCCTCATGATGCCATTTCATAGCATCTGGGAGAACCAAGTCATTTTACCTGTCTCTGCCCCCTTTTTGTGCCTGCTTTCTCTAAATCTCCAAGTCATCTGTCCATCCCATCATTCTATTTCCAGAACAGTGCTCGCCTACACTCCTGTCCTGCCTCTTCTCTGGTTTGCCATTCTAGTTTAAGTCCTCATTACATCTAGTTTTGACTATGACAAGATTCTCCTAATTGGTCTCTAACTTCAGTCTCTCCATTCTGGTTTGGTCCAGTCGCATGGCTGAGATTCCTTTTATGAAAGCATGGCTCTGATAATGACACTGCCTGGATCTCAGTCTTTCCCCACTTCCTACTAAATTACACACAAAGCCCTCAGCCTGATGGCAATGGCGTCCATAATTTGGCTCCAGTCATACATCCCACTCCTCCCTTCTGTGAATGTTGTTTAACAAAAAAAAAAAAAAAAAAAAAAAAAAAAACAAGCGGCCTTATGCAAGCATTTCATGAGTTGACTCTCAACAACCCCCCCCCCCCCTTTGAAAATTTTGTTAAAAAAAAAAAAAAAAAAAAAAAAGAATAAAAAGACCAGCTGCCTTATGCAAGCATTTCATGAGTTGTCATTTTCATATAATGCAATTGCTAGATATAAGTTATCTACTTTATCTGGTACTTAACCAAACTTCCATCTTTTCCAACTTTAGAGGAAAAACTGCCTGTGTTAGTTATGGAGAAAAGGTCCAAAGGGACCCTCCGAAAGGAATTTCACTATTTGAGACTTTTGCTCCATGTCTGACCCACAACTCTAACCTAGACTGTGTAATCCCTCGGGCTTGCATAAGATCTGCTATCCATCTTTTTCCAATCAGAGTAGTTGTCCTGTCGCTCCTGCTGACACCTTGGTAATGTGATGGCATCTAGTACAGCACACTGCAACAGATATTGACTTGATACTAGTACACATATGGGTGTCTCTGGTTATACTGAAGAATAAGGTGGGAGTACAATGAAGATCTGATGTTTGTTTTAAAAGAAACAATTCTTCGTAGACAACCAGTGACTTAGTTTTGTACAAAGAAAAATTTTAAATGTACCCCAAATTTAATACCCATCCATTCTCCCAAATACTAAAACACTTATTAAATTTTAGAGAGAAGAGTCAAGTGGTGATTTCCGGTTTTATTCATATCCATTCCACACACATAAAGGGTCAAAGAATCATGCCTACAGTGCTCGATTCTATTGGTCAAGTTGGTAATTTTATCTCGAAGGCAGAGTTATTCTATTTTATTTTAGTCCTTCATCCTCTTGAATACCTTGATCTAGTTGTTATCTTTATGTGTATATGTGTATATGAGTGTACACACAAACATCTTTTACATATAGAAAATTTTAGAAAAAGTTTATTAAATAGTTCTTGGCAGGTTAAGGTCTGATACGCAAAAGTGCTTCACTAGACTACATATATTAATGATTAGAGTTGCATTTAGGGAAAGTTTGCTATGGTCTGTATCTAAACAACCTTTTATTTATTGTAATTTTGTAGATATTTCTGAGGACATTGGAATTCTATATGTAAAATTCCAAATGATTCTGATCAAATTGAGTAATTTTTAATGAGCAACATTCTTATCTGATTTTTTATAAGTCATAAGTTTGATATTTTGTTACATCATTAGCTGGTTGAGTATCTAACTGATATAAATTCTTCAGTCTATGCTATAAAGTTAATTAGTTTTAGCTTAGAAGGTAATGTTATTTTATCTTCTGATGTTAGAATAACCAAAAAGCAGATTCCACAATGGTAGCTAAGTCTGAAACTCAAATGTGCTTAAGTAAACATGATACTAAACTATATTTAATGTTGGAGATGCTCAGTGAGAAACATATTTGTCTTGGAACTTATAAGCAAACAGAAAACAACAGGATCTTTAAGTTAACAACTATATTAATGGACGTCTAATCTAAAATATGGGTCAAGAATCTTCCCTCTACATTTTTTTATGTAGATATTTTTTCTAATTGAGAGTGCACTGTATATATTTTTGAAAAAAATAAAAGCAGTTTTTAAAAGTGTACAAGGGAGGGCCAGCAGGTGGCGTGGTGGTTAAAGGTGCTGGACTCCCACTTGGCCGACCGCAGTTCAAGTCCTGGACCTGGCAGCTTGCTTTTTCGCTTTCCCTCTCTTTCTCTGTCTCTGCTGATTGAACTGGAAAATAATAATAATAAAGTTAAAGAAAATCATTCTTAAAAAAAATTGTAGAGGGGAATACCACTAGATAAAATATATTACAGTCTTTATTTACAAAATTAAGTCTATAAACTAAGGCATTGGATGAATATCTTCCTTCAAAAGGAACAGCAGTAAGCTCTTAATTTTTAAAAGGAAGAACCAGCAAGATTGTCTCTCTACCTGTAAGAAGTGTATAGATTAAAATGGCTTTAAAAAAAGAGATGAATTTAGGGAAGATGATTTTTCTTAAGCCTTAAATTGGTAAGAAACTTTCAATCAGCCTTAATGTCCTAAGTTTCAAAAGTCAACTACTCTTGACCCTCTGTTGATAATTTAATAGAACTGATCAATTCTGCATAATGAGGACTGGTGGCACAGATGATGTCAGTTAGTCAGCTCTACCCTGATCACCAAATCATTTTATTTCCTGAAGGTAAACATGATACTAAACTATATTTAATGTTGGAGATGCTCAGTGAGAAACATATTTGTCTTGGAACTTATAAGCAAACAGAAAACAACAGGATCTTTAAGTTAACAACTATATTAATGGACGTCTAATCTAAAATATGGGTCAAGAATCTTCCCTCTACATTTTTTTATGTAGATATTTTTTCTAATTGAGAGTGCACTGTATATATTTTTGAAAAAAATAAAAGCAGTTTTTAAAAGTGTACAAGGGAGGGCCAGCAGGTGGCGTGGTGGTTAAAGGTGCTGGACTCCCACTTGGCCGACCGCAGTTCAAGTCCTGGACCTGGCAGCTTGCTTTTTCGCTTTCCCTCTCTTTCTCTGTCTCTGCTGATTGAACTGGAAAATAATAATAATAAAGTTAAAGAAAATCATTCTTAAAAAAAATTGTAGAGGGGAATACCACTAGATAAAATATATTACAGTCTTTATTTACAAAATTAAGTCTATAAACTAAGGCATTGGATGAATATCTTCCTTCAAAAGGAACAGCAGTAAGCTCTTAATTTTTAAAAGGAAGAACCAGCAAGATTGTCTCTCTACCTGTAAGAAGTGTATAGATTAAAATGGCTTTAAAAAAAGAGATGAATTTAGGGAAGATGATTTTTCTTAAGCCTTAAATTGGTAAGAAACTTTCAATCAGCCTTAATGTCCTAAGTTTCAAAAGTCAACTACTCTTGACCCTCTGTTGATAATTTAATAGAACTGATCAATTCTGCATAATGAGGACTGGTGGCACAGATGATGTCAGTTAGTCAGCTCTACCCTGATCACCAAATCATTTTATTTCCTGAAGTCTGATAAATGGACAGGGAACAAAAGGGGGGAGGGGCAGGGGAAAGGAGGCTGAGAAAGCATGAATTCAGACAAATTCCTTTCCCTTTTCTTAGATGGATATTATTTTAATTATTTATATTGTGCCAGTGAGAAATGAAAAACCTAGGAAGACAAGCAATGGATAAACCACAAGGTGGAGGCTGACTTGACATGCTGGCATTTCCATACTTCCACTTGACCATCAGAAAACCCTCTGGTGGTCTGTGTGGAATAAATTCTAGAGCGTACTGTTACTTTCTTTTCTTGTAACTCAGGAGGGAACATTCTTGTGTTCTATTTAAGCAGGAAGAGAACATTAAACCCAGGTCATTTTGAATAAGCCATAGTTCTTAATTACATAGTTCATTGATACTGCTCTTGCTACATTCAATTCCATGTTTACTATCTGAAAGCATAAGAAAATTTCCCTTGTAAATTTATCTGAAATTATGAAACATTCTAAAAGTTATGAGCATTTGACTTCACATGAGGGTAAAATAATTCCAGAGTTCCTTACAACCCCTGTGTAGGCTTCTTTTTTTTTTTTTTTAGACTACAATGTGTAAATTTTATTATTTTTCCTAGTGCAATATTTCTTTCTTTCTTTTTTTTTTTTTTATAGAGCACAGATTAGTTTATTTTTAACAGCCATCATGCCATGAATTCATAGGGAATAGGTTCCAGTAGCTCAGGCTCCTTTCCATTGGTTCTCAAAGAGTGTGCGTCTCTGGGTGGAGCAGGCTGGCGCTTTAGTTGAACCCAGGTACCTTTCTCTTTGGCTTCTTTCTTTTTCTGGTCATTTTCCTTCACACGTTTTAAGAAGCTTTCTCTGCTCTTAGAATGTTTAATATGCTCAATACGCACATTGATTCTCTTGGCAAGAATCTTGCCCTTAACTTGTTTGTTCACAACAATGCCAACAGCATGCTGGGTAACATTGTAGACTCTTCCAGTTTTGCCATGGTAACATTTGTGGGGCATTCCTTTATGAACAGTACCCATTCCCTTAATGTCTACAATATCACCTTTCTTGTAGATTCACATATATGTTCCCAAAGGAACCACTCCATGTTTTCTAAAAGGCCTAGAGAACATATATCGGGTGCCTCTCCTCTTTTCCTTTGTGTTCGTCATTTTGGTAAATTAATGGATGATGGCGGTTCTGGCCAAAAGGAAGTGACAGGGATACTTTCTGAGAAACATATTGTTAGGCGATTTTGTCCTTGTACAAAAATTGGGTGCACTTACACCAA